CACACACACCACCCATGACTCCTGCAGGCTCTCTGCCAAAAAACATGTGAAACTGAAAGTGAAACTGAAACTGTCTGCTGAGCTCCTAACAATACTTCTCACTCAGTGAAGCCCTTTCACATTTAATACCTTTGAGGAAATGTATTTTCAGATGCCAAGTAAACTGCATCATCAATGGAACGGTCTGGTGTCACCTTAAAATGACTTCAGCAGAAAGTGAGACAGTTCAGCTGAGCTGAACTGAGAGGGAGATAAACGCTGCTTATCTGCAAGATGTGAGCTGCCAGGACAGAAAAAGAAGCAGATCTCTGACAAGATTTGAAAATAATAACAACGGCACTTTTGTGGAACAAAAAAAATTATATAGAAAAAGGAATATGTCACAATGTAATTTTCTTCTTAAAACTAAAATTTCAGACAACTTGCCACATAAATACCGTTAATGAGTTAAGAATGCACCAGGGCACATATGGGCCATGCTGCCTTGTGTGTGAACACAATAGGGATGATAATGAAATCTTAGATTACCCCTCATTTATTTAGGATGTAGCTTACAGAAAGTGTGTGTGTGTGTGTGTGTTTCTGGCAGACTTGAAGCGTGAGGCCTGATGCCAAAGATCAAGCAGATGGTGATTATGAAGATAGTTATAAATGAGGTTAGTCCTCCTGAACTCATTTATTAAGAGCTGAAAAGCAGCAGCTTTGTCTGAAACACAAACTGTATTGTCTCTGATGTGGAGGAAGGTCTACACAAAGCAACAATAAAATTCATTCATTTTTATACAACACTGGGCTTTGTAGAGAAGATACATCCATGGAACACTGTCCACGAATCCAAAACATTCATGGTTAAAATGGCCAGAAACTGCAATAAAACTACTGTGAGGCAACTTACACATCTGATCAACAAACTCATCCTGAACCTCTCAACTATTTTAAATGAAACCCAGAAAGTGATCATTGGGTAATAAATTAGCACTAGCATCATATTAATATACCCTCCAACTCAAATCCTGAAGCTGAGATGTCAACACCTGCACAGGTAAAGACCCTTAAAGTGCTCTCAGAAACTTTTCAAACCATCAGAACCACCCCACATTTAAAATTAAAGTTAAGGGTTTGTTTAATAAATTAAGACTTTAGGAATAATCTGGGTGTTATATTGGAAGAGGCTGCTTGCAGATCTGTCCTTTTGTCTCAACCCCTCTACAACAGAGGTTCTCAAACTGGGGTCCTAGGACCCCCAGGGGTCCATGAGTTGTGACTTGGGGTACTCAAAAAATTTCAAGAAATGGTTAATTTGGTTTTTATTTCAAAAAAACGCATATGGGGAATAATGCACTAGTAAAACAAACATACTAAAATCGAATAAAAATAATTTTCCCGTGGTATTTAGGGGTTAAAATAACAGTCATTTATTTTACATTAACATCATGGGGTTTATTAAGGGGGATGGATCCCTGGATTTTTTTCATCCTTGTAAGGGGTCACCAGACCCAAAACGTTTGAGAACCCCTGCTCTTTAGGAAGCACCTGTCAGCCCCTTTTCTTAATCCCTCTTCCTCCAGCAGGAAACCAGGAATTCACATCAACATGCCCATTTTCATTGTCCTGGCACAATAGGTGCACCAGCAGGAAGACACATACAACCCAGCACGTGCTTTGATCCAAAAACAGCAACTTTATCACACAACAGCTCAGCAGAGAGCCTGCAGTTAAACACGAATTATAAAACTGTTTACTTTACCTGTTTGCTCCCAGCTGTCAGTCGGGAGCAGTGGCAGTGCGCCGCACAGGTTTCTTCAATGAAGACATGTCAATTTGTCAAAACCAATTAACCAGGACTGTACCAAAAACTGAAAGGTTCGGGGGTGAAAAAGTTGTTTAAAACTAAGAGTTATTCATTTAAAGTGTAAGGATAAAGAAATTACCTTATACTTTCAAAAATGCGACGAAAAATAGCTAATCATGTTACGTTAAAGCAAAACTTTGACTCTAATTTTCTGTCAACTTTAAATTACTGGGACGTGAAACACATTTTAAATACACCCACAAAGCAATACAGGACTTGTGGTGGGTTTTTTTTTTTTTTTTTTTTTTTGGGGGGGGGGGGGGTATTTTTTGTCGGAGGCGCACTAAAACCAGCACGAGGATTCCACACGGATTTTAGGAAAACGATAATGGAAAAAAAAATCCAACACAAACTTCTCCCCCGTCTTCACATTTCTGACACATAAAGTAAAACTTTGGCACTTACCAGCAATGTTGCGAACACAAATTTCTTCTCTCAGAACTTCTGAATCTGGTTTTGTAGTTTAAACGTGTTTTAAGCTGTCGAAGCCTCTCGGTTCAGTAAAATCAGTTATCAGTCTGCCACTGCTGCAGCTGTGTGTTATGGGCAGCGCTGTTCGAATCAGCCAATCAGAAGCCGGAAAGAACGTGAGGGCRGGGCTCGGCCTTACCTGAGTCTCATTTTATTGGATGATGGAATGTCAATCATCACAATTCAAGCGAAACTGATGACAACGATAAAAAGCTTACATATTTGTATAAAAAGTGTAACTTTTGTTTTTTCTAAGCATTTAAAATAAACCTTTCACTTTGACAGTTTAATTAGTATTTCCTTTGTCATTTGTCATGCTGTGATTTTTACACTTAAATGCTTGCATCAGTGGAAATTCACACATCTAAGAATGTAAAAATAAAACATAAAAAGACAAAATCACGTTAAAATGACAACTGTGTGTGTGTGTGTGTGTGTGTGTGTGTGTGTGTGTGTGTGTGTGTGTG